ATATGTCTGACTGTATTATTGTATTATCTCTCATGCTCTCGATGACTTTAATATAATGCTTATATATCTCAACCGTACAATTGTGCATTACTGAACCCAGAAGTAGTATTACTGAGCCCACGATCAGCAGGTGGGGGCTGGTCCCCACTCCCCCGTGCCATTTTTAATTTAATATTACACCATGTATTGGCTGTGTAACTTTCAGGGTGCTAATGACCTCTTTTCAACCTCATTTCCTGCTTTGCAAGAGAAGAACGGTCACCTCTCTGTCTCAGGGCCATCGTAAGAAGAAAGAAAAAGAGATTTTACCATTCTGGGCAATTCCGTCTACCTGGGTCACCAAGTTCCATAGGTGACAATACTCACTGCCATCGAATCGATTCTGACTCCTAGCGACCCTATAGGACAGGGTAGAACTGCCCCTGAGTGTTTCTGAGACTGTCCCTCTTGCTGGGAGGAGGCCTCATCTTCCTCCCCTGGAGCAGCCGGTGGTTTTGAACTGCTGACCTTGTGGTTAGCAGCCCAGTGCACAGCCTTCACACCACCAGGGCTCCTGCATGTGGGATCCTAGTTAGCATGAAAACCTATACCGGTTCGGTTTTCAGTGTAGGTTACCTTGGGGGGAAATGTGTTTTTAATTGCCAGGAAAATTTTTAAACTTAGCTAATCTAGAGGTCAACGCCAGCCTAATCTAGGCCAAATCGCCACCAATTCTGAGTGATCTAACTAGGAATTGATGAAGATTCATTGTAACCAATTCTTTGGAGCAGAGTAGAGATCTGACTCCAACCAAGAACCCCATGGGTGTCCTCGATCATGAACCCTGAATGGCAAATAGTACTTCACGGACGGCAGACTAAAGAGGGAGCCAGGAGACCCAAGTTCTGACCCGACCTCTCTCACTCATTTGCTGTGTGTTCTCAGGCAAATCACTGACGTTCTGAGAGCCTGGTTTCCTCCTCTACAATGAGGAACAAAGGGCAAATGATCCCTACAGTCCCTGCCCTTTGATATTCTGTCATTTTGGTGCCTAGGATGGGGATCCCAGCATCTGCTGAGTGGAGATAATAAACAGTAACACATGGCTCCTTGGGTTGTTGGGAAAGTAAAGGAAGAGAGACGCGTCAAGGCCCGGGAACAGAGCACCGACTGAGGAAACCCTCCAGAAACAGCAGCTTCGCTGCTTCACACGCCTGCAACTCATTGTCCCACTCTATAGGCAAGAACATGGAAGCTCAGCAAAGCTCTTGAACAACATCGCCAGTGTTCACTCAGCAAGTCAGTAGGTGACTCTGCAGTCTGGACGACAGCAAGGCACTGACCCCAGCCCTTATCTGTCCACCAGCTCCCCATGCCTGCTTAACACCCACCGCTTCTGACAACTCCCATTCCCATAAACTAGCCTGTACCGAGCATCCTTCCGCAGAAGAGCGGGGAAAGGCAGAGGTGTAAGGCATGAGAGGAAAAAAAAAAACATTGAGAATAAACCAACATCCGCTTCTCGGCCTTTGGGCTGAGATCAAGTGTAGAGAATAAACCAGCAAAGACCCAGCCAGTCAGTGTCTTCTGACCCTAGCCCGCTGCCCCTCCTCTTGCCTCAGAGAGGCAGCTTCCTGCGCCCTGGGGAGCAGCCAGCCTGCAAGGGAAGGCACAGGGTGCCAGCCAAGACAATGGTTTTCCACCCTCCAGGACGACGGCAAAATAAAACCAAATAAGCCAAACGCCTTCCTGCTTGGCTTTCTTGGGGCAAAGGAAACTGGTGAGCTCATCTGGAGGGCAGGATGGCGAGGGAAGACAGAGGCTTCTATTTCCGGGGCTCTTTCCGTTTTCTCTTCCGTTTTGTGCAAGTTCACTTCATGGCAACAGTCCAGGGTTGGCTGCTACTTTGGAAACTCCCCTTGGGCCTCGCACTGACTGGCCCTGGCTCCCTATAAAGGGCTGCTGGTTTGGGGGGGCTCGCAGAGGAGTCTGAGGTCCCACACACAGGCTGGCCAATCTATGACCGCAGGTGCCATGAAGGTCTTCATAGCCACCCTGGCCATCCTTGCCACTGTCACCCTCTGTGACCCTGCTTCTGCCTCTCCATGTAAGTCCAGGTCCTAGGGGGAGGGAGCATTAGAACTGATTGTGATGGTGTATAGACAACTTTTTTTTTAAGTGATTTAACTGTGGACGTATATGATATGCGGCTATTAGATCAAAAACGATGAAGAAAAAAAAGAAGAAACCAAAGTTGATCAGTGGATGAAGAAGGAAGAGTTTTTGCTGAGGGGCCATTGAGTATATGCTAATGAGGGCGGAATAATTTGGAAAAGGATATCAATAATGGTTGTATGACGCGAGGAACATAATCAACGGCACTGAATTAGACATGCAGAAGTTGTTCGATTGGAAAATGTTCTGTTTGGCCACATTTTTTTAAAGAAACTTACGCAAATGAGTACAGAGAGGGGGATGTTCTAAAATTGAATGCGGTGATGATTAGACGACTCTTCTTGATATGACTGAATTATTCAATGGTATGACATGTGGGTGAAATGCCAATAAAACTGTTATAAATAAGCAAAATATGTCCCCATAGCCAGACCATCTGCCCCAAATGCCCTCCTACCTCTCGGACTGTCCCTGACCTGCCTGTTTTTCAGCTGTAGCATTTACCCTCGGTGCCCCATTATCTGCAGTCTTCTGCATGGTTTTCCCAGATGTCAGCTGTCCCTCCTGGCAGGAGCTCCGGGTCACTTTCTGTGTCTCTAGAATCGACCTAGGAGTCCTGCAGGAGGTCCCGGAGTGCGGGCTATCACTGGGACAGCTCACTCTGACCTCAGAACCCAACGAAACTGGTGCCTAAGATGCTTCTACCGAACTTCAGAGTACTTAGCCCCCTCCCGGGCCCGACCGTCATGGCCTTCCCATTTCATAGATGGAAAGACTGTGGCTGTGAGAGGATGAAAATAGCTCCTAAGTCCCAGTGGTGCTATAAGGTAGACATAGGGCTACTAACTGTAAGGTCTTCGGTTCAAACCCACCAGCCACTCCATGGGACAAAGATGAGGCTGGCCTCTCCCATAAAGATTTACAGTCTCAGAAACCCTATCCCGTCGCTGTGAGTCAGAATCAACTCCATGGCAATGAGTTATTTTGGTGTGAGTTAGGTCAGGAGCCCTGGAGGCATGCTTCAGTGCTCATTTGCTAACCAAGAGGTTAAGGGTTCAAACTCACTCAGCAGGACAAAGATGTGAGCATCTGCTTCCCCCAAGGTTGTGGGTCTGGATGTGGCTACGAGGCAGGGATTGAGGAGGTGTGCCTCAATCCTCGGGGACTCTAGGGGGCAGCTGTCTTCTGTCCTACAAGGTCTGTGAGTCAGAAGGAACTGGACAGCAGTGGGTTTTGTTTTGGCTCACGTTTGCTGTGCTTTACTTCTTTAGTTTTATTGTGCTGATAGCTTTGAATGTCATCGTATGTAACACCCTCTCTGACCAGATGCCCTTGACCTAACAGGGAACTGGAGGACCAGAGAGGTTAAGGAACTTGTCCAAGATCACACGACTAGGAAATAGGGGAGCTAGTGCTCAAACCCAGTTCTGTCTGGCACTTACATAGCATGCCACTGCTGGTCAGTGGCCACTGACCACTTAATCGCCATTAATTGCCACGGAATTAATGTACCAACAAGTCGTCCTCCTCTGCTCAGAAGGAGCCCCGGTGTCGCTGTGGGTTAGGGGTTGGGGGACCACCAGGCCTCTCAGAGGGAGAAAGCTGAGGCCGTCTGCTCCCACAAAGATGGACACTCTCAGATATGTAAGGCGGGGTTCCTCTGAGCGGGGCGAGTTTGGTTGGGGTTTGGCCCTCTGAAAGGGCCCTCCTCACGATAACAGCCAGAGCGTCTCAGGTCTTCCTGAGTGGGGCCTAACGGAGGCACCGAGTCAGCATTTCAGAAGCGCTCTCCCCATCCAACCACTCTCAGTTCCAAAGAAACGGAGCTCTGACTCCATGAAGGATCCTGGAAGAGTAAGAACGAGGGCAGAGGGCTTGGGGCAAGCCAGAAAGAGGCCTTGTCTGTCCTAAGGGCCAAGGGCAGGGGGTTACGATGTGCAGGAAATAAGACAAGCTAGGCTCAAGGACTAGAGGAGAGGAGAGGAGATGCCCTGGTCCCCTGCCGGAATCCCCACTCTGCCACCATGTGTCCATGGCCAATGGCCTTTCTGGCCCCACCCCCACCCCCCCCACCCCCCATAAAGCCCTCAGCAATTTGCCCAGTGCATACAGGCAACGATAAAGGACTTGCCTGCTTTCTTTCCCCAGATGCCTCGGACACCACAGCCTGCTGCTTTGGCTACATCTCCCGGTCCCTGCCCCGCGCCCACATCCGGGAGTACTTCTACACCAGCTCCAAGTGCACCAGCCCAGCCGTCGTGTAAGTCTCAGCCCCACGCAGGCCTCCAACCTGCATCAGACCCACTGACACGCTCAGGGGAAGCGGGGAGGATGGGCCAGGGGTCTGGTCACAATCAAATCGTAAGATGCAGAAAGAGGTGGTTCTTAAAAAGCTTTCTTGAGTCAAGAAATAAACAACTCTCTTAAGTGTGTAAGCAAATACATTTAGGAAAATGTCATCCTTACCGTGTGATACCAAAAATAATCCCTAGCCCACCAAAAAGCCTACTACCATCGAGTCAGTTTGACCCCCAGCAACTCCATCTAGGGCTTCTGAGGTTGTGAATCTTTATGGAGAGGCTGGTGGGGCTGGATGGACAACCCTGAGGGTAGCAGCCCAGCCCGTCCTGGACGGCACCACCAGGGCTCCTTCAGACAGGGCTGCGGTTGTCTGCTGTCTTCTCTCTAGGATCATTCCAGAGTGTGTCCCATTCTCTCCATGTGTCAAGAGCAGGACGTGACACGGAGGCTCAGAGAAAGCTCCTGACTTGGCCAAGGTGCTATAAGAAGTGAAGGAGTCCCGGCCAGGGTAGGGGACCACCCAATGGGGCAGCTAACTGCAAAGTCAGCTGTCCCGGTTCACCAGTTACCCCACGGAGAAAAAGATGCGGCTTTTTTGCGCCCACAAAGCATGACAGCCTGGGGAACCCAAACAGACAGTTCTACCCTGTCCTATAGGAGGTGCTCTGGGTCAGAATGGATTCCATGTGGATGAGTTTGAGCGGGTTTGGGGGGGCTAGACAGTCAGTGAGTGGGAGACTGCCTCTGTTATCTTCTCTTTCTTCGAAAGCAAGGTATCCCATGACCTTTCCTTAGGAGAGTGGGGAGGAAAGAGGAGAGCCCCAGAAGGAAGCAATCTTTTGAGGCAGAAGTCCCCAGCAGGCTGGCACAGTGGCAGGTCTGCACAGTCAGACTTCACTCCTGACCAATCCCTTCAGGGCTGATACTTAGCGCCATTCATTTTAATCCCTGAAAACGAATCTTTTTCCGAAGGAAGACTAGCACTCACAGGACAACTATCAGGTATAACGCGAGATGAGCAGCCGACCTTCCTTGCTGCGGAGGACCGAGCAGAGGGGCGGCACAGAGGCAGCAGTGACGACAGGGTGCTGGGCATGAGCACAGTCCAGAGGTGGTGCAGCCGGAGGAGGGAGGGAGCAAACACAGGTTCCCGGCTAGGAGAAGGGACCTGGGGGGGTTGCTGCAGGAAGTGCCCCAGCTGGGGGAGGACTTGAGCCAGCAGAGCCAAGTCACAGGAGCTGGGTGTATCAGGCCGAGGGGATGTCTGCGGGACCTGCTCGGGTTTGTGCAGTCTCTGCGCTGGAAAGACTGCGAGACGAAGCAGAGGGAGGCCAGGCTGGTCCTCCAACCGCAGAGGCAGGAGGCAGAAGCTTCTGGGCTCGACTAAGTGTGAAGGGAGCTCACATCTGAACACAGAAGGCCTAGAGACAGGGCCAGCGGAAGAGCCGTTGTGGCCTTGGGTGCTGGACAGAGCCTGGAGGGGAGGGAAGCAGAGACGAGGTCGCACTGTGGAATGAGTCAGCCTTGGGATGGGTCTGAAACAATCAGGAGGAGGAAGACTGGGAGGAGAGGGGGCTGAGCCTCCTGCCTGGAAGGCTGGCGGCAGGCAGAGCCCCTAGGAGCTGCCAAAAAGAGGAAAGGAATGTGTGTATGTGTGTGCATTGGGTTTGTTTAGGCCTGAGGGAGCCGCAGAGATGGGTCACTGAGCAAAGGCATGTGGTCTAGAAACACAGCCGTCTTTGCTAGGAAGAAGGGACGGGCCTTCCCTTAAAAGAGGGGCAAGAACCCAAGAGTCTTGATGAGCCCTGGCCGGTCCTATCAAGGGTCCCAGTTCTGCCGCTTGGTGGCTGCCTGAGCTGGAGACTCCCGCATAACCTCTGAGAGCCTCAATTTTCTCATCTGTAAGCTGGGGAGAAGAGTGGCAGTTCTCTGACGACAGGGGTCACAGAATACTAAAATGCATGGAGTACAGCCTGGCACACAGTAGGCGCCCCATTAAGTGCTCACTTACCATCATCTGAGCGCATTATTATTATATCTGTAGAAGTAACAGGTAACACTGCCATTTTGCCTGCATTCACTATATATATATATATATATATATAGTAAATATATATGTATATATATAGAATATATATATATCCATGAAGCATTATTTTATTCCGGGCCCAAGGCCTGAAACCAGGAAAAGAAGAGCGAGGAGGAGGCAGCGATGCTGACAAGTCCACTCCTGAGGGACAGGAGAAGCTGGGGTCCCCCCTGCCCAACACATCCATTCCCCCCTCCCTGAGCAGGCAGACGGGAAACCTGGCCAACAGAGGCTCCGGAAGCAAGAGGGGAGGCTTAGCAAGCAGGGCCGGTCTCTGGCCCCCACTTTGTGGAGGAAGCCGAAGCGGGGGGCTGAGAACTTCTCACCCCGGGCGCTGGTTTCCTGATTTCTGACTTTCTGGCCACCAGAGAGGGGACCAAGAAGAGGGTTTCCTGTGTGACTGTGGGCTGAGTAAGGGCAGGGTCTGTGCCTGACGCTCCCTCCAAATTCTGACTCAGAACAACCCCATAGAGAAGACAATCGCCCCCACAGGGGTTTGACATTCCTCCCCGAAGGGCGCTGGTGGGCTCAGGCCACCAACCTCTGGGTTAGCCACTGAGCGCTTGAAAACTCGTGTTCTTTCAAGACACGCACTCCTCTGCAGGAGAGAGCAAGCACGTGGGGGGCTGGGAGCTCAGTGCTCTCCTGGCTCCTTGGTCACCTGTGCACAGCAGGGTGGGAGAACGCAAGACACTCAAGGGGCCTAGAGTGAGCCTCAGAAAGGGGAGACGGCATCCCGGGAGCAGGTGTGACCCAGGATGGTGTCCAACAAGCAGCCAAGGAGCCCAAACTACCAGGCTGCCTGTGCTCACGTGGGGCTTCAAATGGACACAAATCTGCTTCCGTCCTGGAACCCTCTATCCTACAGAAGAGAACATAGCCTTTCCTTACAGGTCACAGGTACCAGGGTGAGTCAAAAAGTATTGCTACTGCCGCTCCAGTTGATGCATACTTGGGGTTCTTCCAAACAAATGTGCTCAGGCCTGTCTCTGTGATCGGTGGATGGCTGCAGACAAGTTCTCCCAGTAACACGCTGGTCTTAGTCTCCTTAGGGTGCTGTCCGAATAAAATGTCCAATCGTCCAATCTAAACAGTGGCTCCGAGGGACTCTGCTGGGTCAATTAAATTCAAGGCAGAGAGCTATGGTGCCTGCTTTTAGGGCCCCAAAGGGGACATCTGAATAGATTCTCTTGAGGGACACAGGACAATTAGTGGAGTTTATCGAGAAGAAATTTTAAGAAAATTGAAATCCCTATTAGTGAGAAAATAAGCCAGGAAATTCTCACTGACTTTCCCCCCACAAAAAACCTAACAAAGCATCCTCTTATTCAACTGGGATAGTAAGAGGTACCCTATGAGCACCTCCCTGGGAAACTATACAACAGCGCCCCCTACCGCCCCTTTCACCCACCCACCCATGACCTTGACTCTTCAGACCTGTTTGTTTTCCACACTCAAAGAACAACCCTGAAAAGGTGCATGGCCTGCGTTCCTCGTGGAGGCCACTGCTTTGACTTGGCCTTTCCTTCAAAGGCATTTGAGTGAGACTAAGACAAGAGATCTTGTCTGCCCCCGCCCACGGATGTGTCTTGTTTGGAATAAACCTGTGCGCCATGACCGGGGACCCTAGTAGCAATGTGTATTGGCTGACCTTGGAAAAGTCTATGGCACTCGGCCATACACCACCGCATACCCCCTCATTCCCCTTCCCATCATTCTGCTGTCGTCCACCTGATCCCCTAATGCTGACCGCGTCCCAACCTGCCTTTCCTTCCCATAGCTTTGTCACCCGAAGGAACCGCCAGGTGTGCGCCAACCCAGAGAAGAAGTGGGTGCGGGAGTACATCAACTCTCTGGAGATGAGCTAGGGTGGAGGATGCCTGGAATGGAGTGTGTGCAAGTTTTCCTGTCCCGGCTGTTGCTCTTCTAGCCCCCTGGGGAGGCTCTTCCCCACCACCCTCTGTTCCCGCCCTGCTGTGCAAACCAAGCTTCCACCACAAGGCCACGGTTGTAAACAGCTCTCCTCGATGCAAGCCTGAAAGAGCTGCTGAGGCTCTGAGCTGTGACTGAGCGCTCTCCCGGCTCCGAGCTTCTGCCGCCAGGAGGGAGGAAGGCAGCGAGCCTCTGGAAGCAGGAACGAAAGGCTCCCATGGAACTATCCCAGGGTCAAGATTCCCATCTCAGCGCGTTCACCCAGAAGGGGTACTTGGCACATGTGAGAAATCAGCTTTCCATTAAAATTCTCAATGTAAGTGTAAAGCTGGCTGCTGGTTTGATTTCCTCCCCAGGAATCCTCCTTCTCCATGAGCTTTGAGCATGTGCGGACACACATCTCTAGGGGCTGTCACCCTGCCGCATGGCCAGGGCTAGCGGTAAAAGCTCTCTGAGAAGGGGACCTGACCCGCCCAGAGCAGCGGAAGTTCCTGGTGACTTAGCCTCTCCCAGAAGGAAACAGCACAGCCCTCTCTCTCCACTCCACGACCTCTGTGCCTCTTCATCTGACTCCCTGTCTCAGTACTCACCTGGCCCTTGCACCCACCCACACAGCTCCCCTTCCACTCTAGCCCACCCTGTCATATCCGGGGGGGGGGGGGGGTCCTTTAACATTGCCCTTGTCCCAGCAATGGAATTTCATGGCAAGCCCCCAAATCCTCAGCTACTTCCAGGAAGGAAAAGGAGCATTGTATGGTTTTCCTCAAGTGCATCAGTCCAAGGTGACACTCGAACTCCGTCATCCACCTGTCCCTTCCCGCTGACAGATACTAAGTGTGTTAGGCTGTTGTCCTGGGAAACAAAATCGGTGACACTCATACGTGTATAAACACGAACACTATATCAAGAAGGCAGCCCAGCCCAGTTCAATTCAAGTGCATGGGTCCAGGGAGAGCCAGAGTCCCTTCACACTGGTGCAACTGGCAGTGGATGAAGCAGAAAGACAAAGCACGAGGCTGGGAGGTCACAGAGGTGCGCAGATCCAAGGTCCACAGGAACATGGGTGCCACAGCACCCAGTGTCAGCAAACCATACCACACAGGCGGTCAATCACAGAGCCAGTTGCAAAGAGGGGCAAGAGAGAGAGAGAGAGAGAAGTTCTCAGTGTCTCTCTTATAAGAACGCCACACCAAAAAAAAAAAAATTAAAAAAAAAGAACGCCACACCCCCAAGAACGCATCGTCAGGCTGAGACCTGATTGATGGGTTGGGCTCCACCCCCACTTCCATGCTGGTACCATCCAGTTGACATGAAATCTAACTAACCATCACCCTGAGGAGAAGCACAGGAGTGAGAGTTGTGGAGGGATGGTTCTCATTAGCATACTGGAGCACTCACAGTGCCTGTCTGTCAGGCATGGACTCAAGCATGAAGTCCAATACCCTTGTCCACCCTCAGCCCGATGACTAGTACTGGCCCTGTTGTGTTGAGAAAATCCCCGGCAAGAGAATGAAACGGCACAGGGACTAACAGAAAGGGATGAGGGACACATAAGGTTTGAAGCCACTGAGTTTCATGTCAAGGCCCATGATTTTTGTTTCTATCTTGAATTTGCAAAATTTCAAGCCGACAGAATTTTGTAGGGATACACCCTCTGCAGTATAGCACCGATGAAACATACAATTTCCTCTAGTTCTTTAACGTTTCCTCCCCCCACTATCATGACCCCAATTCTACCTTACAAATCCGGCTAGACCAGAGCATGTACATTGGTACAGATAAGAGCTTGCAACACGGGGAATCCAGGACAGATTAACCCCTCAGGACCAATAACGAGAGTAGCAATACCAGGAGGGTGAGGGGAAGGTAGGGGGAGAAAGTGGGAACTTATCACAATGACCTACATAAAACCCCCTGCCAAGGGGACCAACAACAGAAAAGTGGGTGAAGGGAGACAGTTGTCAGTGTAAGACATGGGGGAAAAAATGTATAAATTATCAAGGGTTCATGAGGGAGGGGGTGGGGGGAGGGGGGAAATGAGCTGATACCAAAGGCTCAAGTAGAAAGAAAATGTTTTGAAAATGATGATGGTAATATATGTATAAATGTGCTAGATACAATGGATGGATGGATGGATGGGTTGTGATAAGAGCTATGTGAACCCCCAATAAAATGATTTAAATTAAAAAATTAGGAACTCAGATGACTTTTACACTTGGACTTAGCATGTTGTTAATAAAGCTTCAGAAGGAAAGAGAAGAATACACCTTCATACACATTTCTGAAGTTCAACTATCAACATTTTCCAACATTTGCTTTATGTGTGTGTATATGTAGATATAATGGCTATATGGGGGAGTACCCCCCCAAAATGGAATTGTGCTGGGCAGAGATTTCATAGTACGCATTTTTCCCACTAGACAAGCATCCAGCAACTCTGTCTGAGTTAGTGCACCCAGTGGCGTCACCTGGGAAGGTTCTCTAGTCACAGTGAATTTTCTCATAAAAGTAGTTTTGTTGGAACCTCGTTTTTTATGATGGCTGATTTAAGAGAAATGAGAAATTTGAGCGTAAGTTGCAAACATATAAATTCACCCCTAAAATTTTTAGAATGTACCCTAATACCAAGGACATTCCATATAACTACAGCATGAAGGAAACTTAGGGTGGTCTCGTATTTTCTAACATACAGTTCATAATTAAGTCTCTCCGACTATCCCAACCATGTCCTTTGTAGGGCTTTGCTTTGTTTTGTTTTTTTAAATCCAGGATCCAAGCCATCAGGTCTCTTTAGTGTCATTTTGTCTTTCAGAACAGACTGATTGTTTTTTGGGGGGAGGGGTGGTGGCATTCAGACTAGATCTGGTAGAACGGTCTCTCAAGGTGGATTTACCAGTTTCCTTATATTTAGGTTTCGGTTCAGCAGTTGGGGCAGGACTACCACATGGGGGGCATTGTGTCCTTTTCAGTGCATCACCTGAGGACACATGATGTCAGTATATGGGTGATACACAAATGTCATGGAGGCAGCGTCCGACCTGCTCTGTCTCCTGAAGGGGAAAGAGAATCACACTCAACAGTCCAAGGTCCATTTCTAGAAGGCTGAGGTCAGACATGCCTTCACCCTCCATCCTTCTCACCAATTCTGACACCAACCATCCTTCCCACAACCCTCTCTGCTCTGCTGGGTTCAGTAATCCATCGCAACCATCACAGAGAATTCAGACCATACTCACAAGTACAAGGTTCACTGGAAACATTAACTAACGGGCTACAATTGAGGATCAGAAATTCTCAGGGTACAGTTCTTGGGTCAGGAGCGCCTCTTCTCAGTGATGCCCACTGGCATGCTTCTCTGTCCCTCCATCTGCTAGCCATGCTTGAATCAGCCCTTGGCCTCTACCCTGCTCAGGTAATGTAACAACATTCTTTTAGCATCGCCATTAAATGCCTGTATTAGTCTGGGTACTTTAGAGAAACAAATCCACAGCAACTCATGTATAAGAGAGAGTTTTATATAAAGGTTAAGTGTGCATAAAGAAAACATCCCAACCCAATGCTGCCCAAGCCCACAAGTCCAACATTAACCCATATGTCCAATACCAATCCACAAAGTTCTCCTCCATCTCAGAAAATACCCACTAAGATGCCAACTGCAGGAGGAAAGCTGAGTCAGTGAACATGTAAGCATCTCAGCACTGGCAGGGGTTTCCACACGGCTGCTCCAGCACCAGGGCTGCATGGGGTAGGTCCATGTGGCTTCTCCTCAGGGACATCCTGCAGGAAGTCAGTCTTGCCAGCTGACTCAGGGAACTGGCTAAGGCAGCTGCACCCTGGCCCAACCATCAGAAAGCAAGAGACCTGAGAACTCGAAAGGCGAGGCTCACCGAGCCATTTATCCCCCTGCCCTTCAATTAACCCCACATGTGTTTATCGGCCAGGTTGGCACAATAAACAAACTAACTCAATGCCCAAAGGACACTCCACTCAGCTCGGGCTTTGAGGGTCAACCAACCTAGCTTCTCCAGTTAAGTGGAGACAATCAACACCAAAAGTGGTCCTCCTGCCCGAAGGCCTGTCACCCCCCACTGTCCTGAGCTCTTGGTGCTACTGCCTCTGCTGCCACCACCACTTCTCTGATGTCACAGCTCTGTCTCCTGGATTAAGGACATTTATCAGGATAAAGATGGAGCTTGTACTCCAGTAAAGAGTCACAATCTCAGAAACTCAGGGGGCAATTCTACCCTGTCCTGTAGGGTTGCTATGAGTCGACATGAACTAGACTCCATGCAGTCAGTGAGTGAGTGAGCGAGTGAGTGAGCACACAGGTAGCTCAGCGTCCAAAGGACACTCCCACTCCTGGCTCTTTTTACTGGATAGCAGTGAGTTCCCCCTTTCCCACTTTATGTTATACCCAGCAGGATGGCAAAATGGACCAATTCCCATGTTAGAGATGGACAAGCCCTCTCTGCATGGTCCCACCCAGTTTTATAGTGGGAGTTACAAAGAGTATTCCTAAACGAGCTTTAGGAAGTAATTCAGTGTCCCACAGGTGACGTTAAGTCTGACGACTCGGTGGCCCATGTTTCCCAGCTACAGTGAGCCGGCTGCTGTGTGTCAGGTATGGTGCTGGGCACTAGATAAGACAGAAGAGAGAGGTGACTGAGCAGCCATCTTGGCCTTTAAGCAGCTCACAGTCCAGGAAGGTGAACCTGCCAACAGAGAAGCTAAATGATGCACACCAAAAGGGACACAACTGGACCAAAGGATGTGGCTGCATTGAGGGCAGAAGAGAAAGGAGGACACCACTGAGAGGGGGAGGCAGAGAGCTGGGGGAAGAGAAGGGTCTGAAAGATTTGAATGACCCAACACAGAAAAGGAAGGGAAAGCCTGACACAGGTAGAGGAACCAGCATGTGCAAAAGCATGGAGGTATGCATGGCTGCTTCTTGCCACATTGTGGGGAACCTCTTGCCCCCAAGGAGGAGGGGGACAGAGAGAGAGAGAGAGAGAGAGAAAGGGGTTTTCCTATCCTGGCTAGTTTCCTGCTGAACATCCTAAGAACCACCCCTAGCCCCAACGTGGGCTTACGCAAGCTAAACAATAGTTCACCAAACACTTGAACTGTCCTTGCAGACTGAGGTCTCACCGCCCGCCATCGACTCGATGCCATGACCCTACAGGACAGGGTAGAATGGCCCTGTGACTGTCTGGGCCTGCAACTGTTAACAAGAGTAGAAAGCCCCATCTTTCTTCCATGGAGCAACTAGTGGTTTCAAACAGCTCCCTTAAGCTGGGCAGGTATAACTTTCCCACATGTCAGAGGTGGAAACGGCCGCTCAGAGAGGTAAAGCTCAGAGAGGCTCACGTCCCAGGCCAGTGGATGACGGGGCTACCTGGGGCTGGAGAATGGGACTTGAGTGTTCTATTTACCAAGGAGATCTGGTTGCTCAGCACTTGGTAGCTGCTGCCTCCTGGTCCTTCTGCCAACGTGGATGAGAATCTCTCAGAAATGTCGCCACGTTAAGCGATGAGAAGCAAAGGGCACCTTCCATACCCTGTCACTGGAGGAAAAAGATGGTCTATGAAAACTCCCATGTCCTTGAAGTCACCAAGTCAATGTACAAGTACCCATGGCTGGATCACAGAGACAGGGCCAAAGGTGAGGCTGGCACGAACAGAAGCAGGGGCACAGGCCTGACGGGAAAAGGGTGTCTGGCTCCCACTCCCAGCGGAGAGGCTGGGGGAGCTCAGCTCAACACATCATGGGAAAGGACAGGGTGGGTCGGGGTGTACTTCTGTGGCTCCTCACAACCCTTAGCGGGGGACCCCGTGCCTTCAAAGATGGGGCACCCTGTGTGTCTCCAAGTTTCTGCTCCAGATCTGCACCCTCCCTCAGCCCAACTCTCCCAGCCACAAGTCTCTGCATAAGTCATCCTGTGCTTGTCCTGTGCCTGGTGCTCTTCCCCACC